CTTTAGGGAGACAAAATGATCTCCAATTAGCTCCTCCACACCTATGAGTATCTCTTCTTTCCACAAGGTCACAATCCCTCCTGAGGAACCCCACGAAGGAGCAGCCACCCACTTTATACCCCTAGAACTCCACACACTCCTTGCCCATCTACAATCAAAACCTATTCTTTTGGACTCCTGAATCCGGATTAAACTTATTAATTACCTCTTTAATTGTTGCTCTCTTCCTAATGCTGCCCAACCCCCTCACATTCCAACTTAGGATTCTCATTGAAAACTCTTAACCTTAACCCTAACTCCTCCAAGATCTATTTAGACCCTTTTCTTCTAATCCCTTTCACTTCAAACTTCTTGTCCCCCTCAATATCTTTTTTTAACCTCTCCACTTCACTCAGCCTTCTAAACTTCAACTTGCYGTCCTCTTTCTTTTGCATGTAGGCTTTTAGATCATTTGGGTTCTTCAGCTTGCACCCCAACTTTTTCACAAACTCTGCAACTGACTCTTCCCCATTAGATTCCTCTTTTTCTAAAAATGCACTCTCCTCACTCCTAGGAAACTTCTTGTTCCTTCTCACATTACCTCCAACTACAGCCATTTGTGTCCCCTCCAGGCTCCCTCTCTGCAATTCCTTCCTTTCCACTTCACCCAAAAGGCTTTCTAAGATTTCCCATATTATTGTCTCTGCAAGTTTCATTACCCACTTCCCCCCCCCCCTTGTAGACACAATGTAGCTTTCAGACCAAGGGCTTCCGACTCTTGGTTGGGAAGAGAATCTGGAACAAGAGACACAGAGCGCTCATCAGTATCCAAAACTGTATTGACAGAGTTGAGGGATTTACCTGAGGCAGAGAAGTGAGGAGAGAGCAAAGGCGAAGGAGTGGTAGTCACTTTCTTTTTGAGAAATTAGAGCACTCTGTCTCCCAGAGTTAGGGGAAGAAAATCCCTGTCACTGTATCAACACAATGACCCCTTTTTGTACCCAAGTATGTACCTCTCTGTGAGGTACCCTTGTTCGGCTCTGAGAAGACCCGAGCTACCTCCTTTTCGGCCTCTTGCAAAGCACTAGAACTAGGGGGGCTCAGCCAGAATTGGGTTAAGATCATTCACCCGCTCCTCCCCCTCCTCCTTTCCCTCCCCCACCAAATCCCCTAAGAACAAACAATCCAGGCTAAAAGGATCCCTGTTTTGAACTTTAGATAGAGCTTCATCTGCTGCATTGCCTAAACTCCCACAGGCTTCTGAACTTTCATCATATTCAGAATCTGAGCTGCAGCTTATCCAACCTTGGTCGGCCTCTTCCTTCTCTTCTGTACTACCTCTCGAATAGTGTGGGTTCGGGCGATCAGAAGTGTCCGTCGAACCCAGCACAGAGGACGGTGTCCTTCTACTTTGCTCGCCAACTTAGCCCCTCCACAGTCAAGAGGGCGAGACCTGGACGATGATAGATGAATGTTGCCATCTATCATCTCCCCAAGCCTGCCCCGCCCCACGTGATGACTTAAGTTGTCACATGGGCTTTTAAAACCAAGTGAAGGCTCACCTACTGACCCGTCCGGCCCAACCTTCTTTAAAGCCGGTTCAAGGAAAGACTTTGAGCACAAACGACTCTTTCCCATTTTAGCACGTCAGCATAGGACGGGCCGCCCTCTTTAAACAACCCCTCTTCGAAAAAATTTCAATTAGAAGCCTTAAAGGGAAAGCTTCGAGACTTGGGGCACCCCTGCGACTGTTCCCCTTCCTCTGTATTTCGCCCACACGCACCAGGCTTTCCCGCCAGCCCCTGAAGGCCACGTGTACACCAACCTGCAAGCTCGTCAGTTCCTTCAACCTCTGTTCGTCTTCCCCAATTTGGATATCAAGTACCAAAAAAAAGCCAGATTTTCCAACATCAATGAAGAAGATGATCTGAGTTCATCAGATTTGAGATTAAATACAAAGAAGGTAATATTGGGTTTTAAAAAAAAAAATTATGCATCATGTGATGTCATGTGTGTACAGATTTTGACAGAACATTAATAGACGCTAACAGCAGGGGTAAATCAAGTCAAATGTCAGAAACAGTAGGGGTGGTTTAAGACAATAGTTAAACAGTGAGGGTACAATTTGTCAACTAGCTAAACAGTAGGGGTAGTTTACGAAGTTTTCCCTAAAATAAAAGTTATCTGTTACCAATCAAAAAATATCTGAAGCATACTCTGCTTTTCAGAGCATTTAGGAAATACAAATTAGATAAATCTGTCACTCACTGTAACTTCAAAAAGTAGTCATAGATATCACAAGCTTACAATGGACTCCAAGCTCATTTTATTCTTTGCTCCATCATATGCTGCTGCCCGCAATTCTTCATAGCTAATATCACCAACAATATCACATGGGTGACTGCAAGCAACAAACACACTTTAGCTCAGCGAGCAGTGGATGACTGGATCATTTATTTGTTCTCATTGGAGACAAGAGAAGTGAGAAGAACATATAAAACCATTTCAAGACATGGAATTTTAAGTTTATGGAGAGTAAAAGATTATTGCTCCAATAGTGATGTAAAACGCACTATTTACAGTGGCCATAGCAAGTAAGGTTCCAAAGTGGTCTTTCATGCTCAAAATCTTCAACAATTTGCTGTTTGCATGATTCAGGATCTGTGCATCTAGGCATAAAACAAATGGAAATTTGCTCAGTGAAATTACTCTGTTCCAACTACAAGAAAGAACAACCAACAGAAAGTTCTAAAACTAAAACAAGAACCAATAGAGTACTCACTTATGAGGAGGAACCTGAGCCTGATTGTCAGCTTGCCGAGATGAGGAAAGGGGCAAAGTAGAGGAACGCACCCACTTATTTTCAAATGGCTGATCCCGTATGTACAAGACAGCATAAATAACACAAGAAAAATAGTGTAATGAGTACAAAAATGTATAGATTAAACTGCCTAGATTTTACTAAAGAAACTAAATAACAAACCATAGAACAAAATTGAACAATGTAAGGAACAAAGTGAAATCATGCTTAATTTACCAAATGGAAACTTCCCACTAAAATTGTTAGTGAAGGGTTATGAAAGTATGAAGGTACTAAGTAACAAACCTTAAACTGATTCTGGTTTTTGGCACTAAAATCAAAGGCCCCTTTTGACTGTGAACTGCTTTGTACTCCAAATCCGAATGGGTTAGGTTTTTGTTGTGATTGATTTGTGTTATATTGTGACCCAGTGCCGAATCCAAAGGGATTTGGCTTCGGTTGTTGTTGAGTCACATGGAGAAACTTGCACCGTTCACCATATTGACAGCTAGAAGATACTAACACATAGTCAGAAACAATTCATGTATTCTCATTCAACAACTCAAAGATGCCCTTATATACTAATTACGACCATAACTACAATGTAAAATTGTCCTTAAAAAAAATAAATCGAACAAAACTCGTGTAAATGCCTTCATCTGTATGCTATCTGAGCCACACAATTGCTATGGTGAGATGAGACAAAAAATTTATAAATGAAGAAGAACCAAGCACCAAATTAATGCATGATGGAAAATAAACTACATGGAGTCTAAGGTGGAACCCAAAAAGCATTCTTGCAAAATAAGTGTATTCGAAAAGCAAAAGCAAGCATGAAAATGAAGAAGCACATTCCCAAAGCATCAAAGGATTTAATTGATCGCTAAAATTAATCCTCTTTACTTTTAACAGTGTCATTGAAGACCTCAGAAAGGATTACAAAATTCTAGTTCTATTATTATTTTCATTTTTATTTCTATTTTTGTTGTTCTTGTTGTTATCATTCATTTTCCCTACAATCTGGAATCCGAAAGAATGTCAAATATCAAAATCTACAAAAAAAGAAAAAGGAATTTTCGGACTGCAATCCCCCTCAGAAATCTTTTTTGTAGCCCCCTCCTAGTGTACTAATACCCCCCCCCCTCTATAAACCACATCCTGCCCGTGAATTTGGCATCAATCCGCGGGCAGGATTCAATCCACCCCTAGGAAATCCTAGCTCCACCTAGGGGTGAACTGAATCATAAAAACCCCAAAGAAAAATAATTGAAAACGGAAATCATTAGAATCAGTAGCTCTGTTTTCTTGAAGAAATATCTTGAATTGACGGTACATAACAACATCTTCCTCGATAGAAACTTGTCAAGAAATAAATTACATTTTCTGCCGCACTGGAGAAAGCTATTTAAAGGATATCGTATCACCCCCTTGGGTAAGAAAACTCTAGATGATTACCATTAGACGTATAGTCAACCCTATAAACTACCCACATGATTGCTCAAAAAAAAAAAGACATAAGTTCAGTTCTGCATCTCATTCGGGATTCATCTAAGTAGCCAACGCTCCGGGAAGTAAAAAAGGAAGAAACAGAAAAAGAAATGGCAACAAGAGAGAAGACAGAGAAGGAAGAAGGGATGAGAGATTACCTGCCTCGCTGAAAGTTTCTGCAAGGCTCTTTCTTTCGATACATGTTTTCTGCTCCTATCCCTCAGTAGCAGGGACCACGTTAACTAGCCGGACCTCACGAAAATGGATGAATCAGAAAGGATAGAACCGATTGGGATGAAAACGGATCAAAGCTACTCCCTAGTGGATCAGATGACATTTTTTTGGGTAGAAAGTAGATCAGATGACTTAGGGCTCGAAATAGACACTAGAAGAAGCTAGCAACCATACTTCATCTTGAACCCCGAAGTATCGGCATTGGTGCTACATACACAACATTTCGACCTGTTCAAATACCTTGTCTACGCTTGGCAGGCGAGTGGCACTATTGTAAATTTTGTTAATATAATTATTGGGAGAAGTCATGTTTCTTATTGACTGACCACAAAAAACTTAACGTAATCTTTGGAGGAAGGATGGTCAACTTCTCTCCGTGCTTGACCTTAATACTCCTAAACCAATTTCCTGGTTAATGGCTTGCTTGACTATCAGGGTTCTTTATGGGCGCACACATATTTATGGGGACAATGTATAGACCGGCATTGCGCCACACACACTAAATGAAAGCTTGACTTATGGGACTGGCTCAAGCATATCCTTTCACCTCGCCAGCCCCATATCTAAGCCAATTGAGCTACCCTGTTGCCCTTAAAACACAGGCATGTTCTGGCTCAACAGTTGCCTATCATCCTTGGCATACAGGTGTCTCTCCTCACCGGTGCCACAATTGCCTCTCATCATGGCCTTCCCCCTTTGGCACGTAAGCGATACTTCCCATAAACCGGTCAGAGCCACAAAGAGCCCTAGCCATGAGTCTTGAGGTCATGATCCAGTGCCACTGACCTTGATAGAGCCATCTCATTGAACAACACCTGGACGCCACACAGATTTCTTCCATTGCAAAACTACCCACATGACATTAGGGCTCAAAATAGACACTAGAAGAAGCTAGCAACCATACTTCCAATTCTTGAACCCCGAAGTATTGGCATTGGTGCTACCCAACATTTCGGCCGGTTAGAAACAAATTAGTGCTACAATACCAATGCTTCTCGATTGGCCTGTTCGTTTGCACCAAAGTCATCTGAATGCCTTTTCTATTTTTTTTTTTTATTTCTTTTGAAGTGCTACACAACAATCCAGGTGAAGTCGGGATTCGGTCACAAGTCTCCGCAATTACCTACAAGAGACCTTACCGATCAGCTGATTGACACTTTTGTATAAATGCCTTTTTTTGAAATGTAATAATTTTAGAGATGTATTAGAATTGGTGAACTTTTCTTAATTTTAGAGTTAAGATAAAGTTGTTATGAACATGACATCTAAAAAGTGGAAATCGGTTATTTTTTACCCTATATATGAGAAAGCTTGCTTGACTTTTAACAAATCAATTAATTACATAATTATTTTTAATGAATTAATTAATATATTTAATATAAATAATTACATAATTCTTAATTAAATAATTAACTGATAATTCATAACTATATATTGAATATTTAATTAATTAAAATAATAAATAATAAATAATTAAATAAATAATAATAATTTCTAAATATTACCTTATTATTATTATTATTATTGAATTGACTAATGATTAATTAATAATTATGTATTTCATAATTATATAATTAAAAATAATGAATTATTTAATAATTTAATAAAATAATTAAGTACTGGTGGATAACTAATAAAATAAAAATAATAATAATTGTTAATTATTATTATTATTATTATCATCATCATCAAGGTTTACAAACCATTGTTGACCTGTCTAAGGTATCAATTCCGTTTCACCCCCAAATTGCTAATTTCCCAAAACAATGTTGAATTAGTTAATGACCCACTAACCTTAATGATCGAACCATTGACCAATTCAGCCTAGACAATGGTTTTTAGGGCCAATTTTTATTTTCTTTTAATTTTTAAAACATCACATGCTGATTGGTTTGAACCAAATGATCAAACTGCTAATTTAAAAACCAATGGACAAAGTGGTTCCAATAGGGTCAGATTAGGTCTTAACATAAAAGGAGAAGAAACTACTTGGGCATATTTTTGGAAAATAAATATGTAATCGTTGTATGGCAAAAAGTAAGTGCTAAATCAAGGATGAACAAAAACTTGGTAATTAACACTCTTAATACCGAATTGGATGATAGCTTTTTTAGCATTAAGCATTAAGAGTTATTGAACAGGTCCTGTAAAATATTGAGGCCACCGTTGAGAACCCAATTTGGATTCAGTCATTATAAGCCATTGTATGTCTAAGACTACAAGATTGTGGAGACATGGGATCTATTTTCGTTAAAATCCGATTTGCTCCTCACAAAGTACAGTAGATGTTCTCAATGCGTAGGTGAAAGTGTTGTGAGGTTGGTATGAAGCACTTTATGAGTGACAAATCTAGATTCATTCCCATTGCCACTAAGGAGGGTTTTTTTATAGAACAACCAAATCTATTAACAGAAAAGAGCACAAAAGGTTTAATACAAGCCGGAGGGTTGTCCAAAATAAACATATCTACATCATGCAATTTACCTAACTGATCTATAGACACCAAAGAGATGCTCCCAATATACAGCTACAAAAGGCTGTTGGGACCGTGTTCGGAGCCTAGGTTGGGGACCTGATCCAAACTCCCATAGTATAGTCTTAAAAAAAAAAGGATAAATTACAAAAAACCCCCATACTATAGGGTCAATGGCAAATATGTCTCTAATAAGTTATAGTTTCGTTCCGCCAAGTGTATATTTTTGGGTTATAGTCCTTATGTCAACATAAGGGCTATAGGTGCATGGATGTTCTCACTAATCGAATTTACATATCTAGGCATGTAGTTTTTGATTTACACAACTATCCTTTCTCTAGTACTCAATCTACCACTGCCATCACTCCTACACTCCCACCCACTCCTCAAACACTCATCCAATGGTTACCACTACAAAAACAGCCCACTGGCTCCATACTCAGTAGTCTCCCTCAGTTACTTCGATGTCAAAGGATACTCTTGCGTGTACTTCTTCAAGTGAACCACCATTGTCAAAGGCTAATCATTTGCTTGCATCATCCTCTCCATTGTCCAACCCACCATCATCACCTTCCCTTGTCCAATCCCACAACTACTCTCAGCCCTTGCGTACCCATCCTATGAAAACTCGCTCTCAATCAGTTATATTTAAACCCAAACTATATTCTACCAAATACCCCCTTCTCACTACCCTTGTAGCCACCACCGTCATCGAACCCCGTTCTTATACACAAGCATCCAAAAGCCTAGCATGGCGTCATGCCATGGATCAGGAATACACTTCCCTTCACCACCGGTGCCTTTTCAACCCACCAGGAATGTCGTAGGCGATAAATGGGTGTACCAGGTTAAACACAGCCCAGATGGCTTTGTTAGCAGGTTCAAAGCAAGATTGGTTGCTAAAGTTTTTCATCAACAATTGGGTGTTGACTTCATTGAAACTTTCAACCAAGTTGTAAATACCACTATCCAGGTTGTTCTTTCTGTAACTTTTTTGGTGTATACTTTTCTGTATTTTATTCATTGAGAATTTAAGTATATATACATAAATACAACCACCAAATCTCCTAAGCTTATGGCAATTAGAACTCCTAAGTTTACAGAGACTCAAATATATCTTTCCTATCCTATCTGAACTATTCATGATAAGGAAAGGTTAAGAAGATATATGCAAATAAGATAATACTAAACGGACTCCTAATCCTAACACCCCCCCACAAGTTGGAGCATGCAGATTGTGAATGCCCAACTTGCGGAAAAAGTACTCAAATTCTCTACGACCCAGTGCCTTTGTAAAAATGTTAGCCAACTGAACGGTAGTCGACACATAAGCAGGACGAATGCAACCATTTTGAATCTCATCACGTACAAAATGGCAATCAACTTCAATATGTTTTGTACGCTCATGAAACACTAGGTTTGTTGCAATATGCAAGGCTGCCTAACTATCACAATATAATCACATTGGGTTTGAATGCATACCTCCAAGAGCCAATAACAATCCCTTCAGCCATTTTAATTCACACGTGGTCGTGGCCATAGAACGATACACTGCTTTCGTTGAAGAATGAGCCACAGTGTGTTGCTTCTTAGTTTTCCAGGAAATAGGCGATTTTCCAAGTAGAATAAACCATCCAGACAGAGAACGTCGGGACAAAGGACAGCTCGCCCAGTCTGAATCGCATCATGCATATAACTGTAAGTCACAATCTAAACGCAAGAGAATTCCTTGACTAGGATTTCCATTCAAGTAGCATACCACTCGCAATGCAGCCTCCCAATGTCTTTCTTGCGGTTGCTGCATAAATTGGGACAGAACATGCACACAATAAGACAACTCTGGACAAGTTGCTGAAAGATAAATAAGCTTGCCTACCAAGCGCCTGTATCGCTCAGGATCAGATAAGAGAGGCCCATCTGTCAAGGCGAGATTGTGATTTTGCTCCAGAGGAAAAGGAGCAGATTTTGCACCAAGTAATCCAACTTCAGAGATAATATCCAAAGCATACTTACGTTGAGATAGAAAGATTCCTGTTGAGTTTCGGACAACTTCAATGCCCAAAAAATATTTCAATGGTCCCAAGTCTTTCATATGGAAGCAATCATTCAAATATTTCTTGAAGACTTGAATTGCCATACGATCATTACCTGACACGATAATGTCGTCCACATACACGAGAACAAGCACATGCACCCTGTCTCGATGAAAGGTGAAGAGGGAGTAATCTGAACATGATTGCTGAAACCCATATGTCTTCAAGGCTGTGGTTAATTTAGCAAACCAACATCTCGACGCTTGTTTCAAGCCATACAGAGATTTTCGCAACCGACACACCATACCTGGTTTATCTGACTGAAAACCAGGAGGCATTCGCATGTAGACTTCCTCATGAAGGTCGCCATGCAAGAATGCGTTATGTACGTCCATTTGATGAAGCTCCCAATTTATAGCTACTGCGACAGCAAGGAAGGTACAAATAGTAACCATTTTTGCAACTGGGGCAAAAGTTTCATTATAATCAATTTCCTCAACCTGCTTGTTCCCAAGAATCATGAGACGAGCTTTGTATCTTTCCATTGTCCCATCAGCGTTATACTTGATTCGATACACCCATTTGCATCCTATGGTTCGTTTTCCGGATGGCAAAGACTCCACAGTCCATGTCTGATTATTTTCAAGTGCTTGTATTTCTTCCTGCATTGCATCCCTCCATTTTTCATCCTTTACGGCCTCAGCAAAAGAAGTAGATTCAACTTCTGCAG